TTTTTTAATCCTCAAATCAAATAATCCTAAAACATGATATTTACTGAATATAATGGAAATGTAACTAGTTATTTTATAGTCCATTTTAATTTAAATTATATTAAATAAATAATACTGGTAATTAATATTTTCCAACTGTTTAAATTTTAATATAAATAACAACGTAGAACGTATTAATTGCCATATAGGTTATCAGGTTAATGCCCTATGTAGTATGTTATTTTATAATGCTATTCCCAACAGAAGGCACAGAGCATCCCTGGAGTTACATTACATTGTAATTGATAAATTCGAAACAGGTGTTTAGTGAAGTAGTAAAAGTCTTCAATGTGACATGAAATGCGAGTTCATATCAGGCTCACTTCGAAAATATTGACATAAAACGTGGCGTACGAAAAAAATATTTGCTAATATTTTAACTGACTTCAAAAAGTCAAGACCGATAGGTTATCGGTTGTTATGTTTAACAGATGACGAATTTTATTACTTAATCGAGTTATTATTAATTTTGATTTTTTTCTCCTTTTATTATATTGATTTCTGTTATCGAGTTAAATACAGTTTTTTTTTAATGTACATTATATACTCTTATATTCTCCATGCAATCATTAAGATTTATACTCATAATGGTCCTATACCAATTTGACAAAATTATTGGAATGTTTTTTTTTTTTATTTTATAAAAGCTAAATTTTCAATAAAGATTTAGAAAATCTTAGAGAAATGTATAAAATATAATAATGTAAAAAGTAATAAAACCTAGCCTTTAACTGTTCTCAAAATTTATTAAATTCGCAAAACGGGTATTGTAGTCATAAAGAACATTTTAACAGTCTATAAAATAAATAATATTGTTGCCAAATTACAGTGGAAAGATTTCAGTGTGACTCTATAATACATGACTTGTAGATGGCAATTAAAAAAAGGGAGAACGTAATTCTGCCTGTAATCTCGTAAAATATATGAGTATAACATTTATGTCATTACAGCTATTAACTATTAATCATATATATGTTTAAAATTTATAATATAATTTGCGAAATGAAACGCCATTATTTTATGATGCATTTATGGCTACCTTTCACTATTAAAACACCGACAAACTCAAAGCTATAGAAAGTGGCAGATTCAAATATGTTGCAGGCAGTCAATGGATGCGAGTAACTTAGGACCGTTCTCTATAGCGATAGACTGTAAATAGCAGATTTTACTACCTATTAGAATTATATTTTGGATTACTCTTTTAACTATATTTTTTTTTACAGTCCGGTTATAGTTTTATTTTTATTTACGTTATATGTACTCTTTATGCAGTAATTAGGAATAACTAAAAACTAAAATTATAATCATATTTCTCAACAAGAATTGAGAAGTATTAAAAATTTGAAATCATATAAAAAGCTAACTTTCAAGTTTTCTCAAAATTTATTAAATTCACAAAACGGATATCGAAGCCATAAAGAAGGTTTTACAGTCTATAAAATAAATAAGAGTGTTGCCAAATTGTAGTGGAAAAATTTCAGTGTAACTTTATATCATATGACTTGCAGATGGCAATGAAAAAAAAAGAAAGCAATTCTGCCTGTGATCTAGTAAAATAATGGCTATAATATTTTTGTCATTACAGCTATTAAATATTAGACGTATGAATATGTTGAAAAATTTTGCCAGTATGTGCGTAATGAGCCCGCAGGATTTGACGTCATAATATTTATGGCTTACTTTTCATGACAATTTAAAAATAATAAATTCAAAGCTAAATGAATTTACGACCTCAAATGTATTGCACGAAATCAATGGATGCGAGTGGCTCAGGACCGTTTTCAATGGCGACCTATGTTCAGTAATAGACTCCAAATGGCGGATTCCATTATTATCCTCACAGGTGACAATGGTACTGAAATGTAAAACTTCACAATTTTAACAAAGTAAATATGGAGTCCTATTGAAAATGCATGAGATATAAAATTTAACATATTTTGCATAAAGTCCTATTTTAAGCAACTTCCAAAAGATGAAAATGCTCAATTAATGTTTTTTTTTTAATATGTTACTAGAATATGCATCCAATTAGGAACCGATTTTGTGAGTCATATTTCAAATGATAGTGTATACTCCTATGTTCGCTCCATATTAATTTTGTGATAATTGAAATAAATAGCGCTAAATGGAAATAAACTATCGATTCGAAAAAGAATCTTGAAAAAATGGTTCGGAATTCGTAATCGTTCAAGATAGTTACAAAAAATATCAGACAAATTTGATATCAGACAATAATACCTGACATTTTTTTCATGAGTACTTAAATATCTATTAAAAATATTACAATGTTTAAGATCAAAACGAGAGTAAAGACTATCTAACGTAATAGTAATCATAAAATTGGCGAAGAAAAGGCGTAAAATATACACGAAATAAATGTAGATCCTTCTATTTTTTGAAGCTACTACAAACTTATAATATTTATGTAATCGTATCTGTTAGTCGTATACTCACTTCATGATAAATAATATATTTAGGTGTTTTTAACCAACATATCCTGATCTCGATACTGTAAAGTAATGACTGATTGGTCTAAGGCCAATTGGAACGTCCATTGTCTATCTTCTTCATTATTTATTTTATTATACAAAACAATTTATTACATAATTAATTTCCAAGCTAACTTTATAAAAATCACATAGATTTATTCTAAATGCCTTTTTCAATCTACAATTTGTATGTAAATAATTATGGTGCAAATTGTGTATTGGTCGAGGGATCATATACGTACATGTTCTGGTCCCTGTGTGTTTTCTGCTGCAGTTGTGATTAACTTACCTTGTGCCACTATTCACAATTTTGTTTTATTAACTTATCGATTATAATTTTGTTAGAGATAACTTCTTTTTCTTCCTTCTATTTAAGCTACTTATTTATTTCTGTCCATAGTAACATTTTTTTATTTTACAAATTATAAATGTAAATTCTTATAATCAATTACAAAAACATCTTTCCATTATTATAAAGTCAATTCGCGTAGTCAATTGTGAAATTTTTAACCGACTTCAAAAATAAGGAGGTTCTCAATACGATTTTTTTTAATTTTATCTAGAAGGTACTCTCTACTTACAGATTGGTCCCCATAGAAATTTTATCAATATCGGTTCATTAGTTTAATTTTTAAATCAAAATAACTGATTTTTCCACAATTTAAGTACTTTTTTTATTTTGAAACACTATCTTAATTATAATGTTGTCAAGAGGAATTAAAAACACTAAATTTATTATACCTTGGTGTAGTATAAGATTATTAACATTTATCATTGTCAAATAAATGATAAAAATATCTGGAATGCTTTGGCACTTATTTGAATTTAAACAAAGTGTGACGAGACGTTATCACTTACTTTTTAGAGTTTCGTAGTAATTAACTCATATTGCGTCTCTAAGATTTGTTCATGTTTGTTTGTACATAGATATGCCAAATTATGTGTTTCCACTTCATAATAACCCTTGTATTCAAATCAGCTATATTCTTTGTGTGAGACAATTTCTCCGTTTGTATTCTTAATTAAAAAAATTGTGCATACAAGTATTTTTTCCAGTTCTAAAGATTTTGAATGCCTCTTAATTCATTAGAAAAAATATTTTAGAACTTTAGAACTAAAATAATTCGATTAATATCTTAGTTTAACTTGCACAAGACATGTTCATCTTATTTTTTCATCTCATTTGGCGCAAAATTATTGTTAAACTTTGCAGCCTGTAAGGACTTATATATTATAGAATAAAAATTATAATTTTGGTTAATATTTATCTAATATTTCGCGGCAATAATAAAAAAGCTATATTTTAAAATAAAATCACATATCAGTAAGGAGTACCTACCCTCAATTCTTAGTACAAATATATTATAAATATTTGCAAACTTTTCTAATAACTGCTTAAAAATACGATTTTTCTCCGAAACTCATGTATTTAGCCAATGCGGTTCAAATATTATAAATTTCTTATAAATAGGTATATAAACTTCTTAGCAATGCTTTTTTAAAAGACGGCATTAAATTTGTGCTTGCAATCAACTGAACGAATTATTGAGAAAAAATTGTTGTAATTTATAAAATTTGTGGGAGCAGTTTTATATTAAGCATAGAACAGTGACAATAAACCATTTCAGTTGTGTAACCCTAAAGGAGTCATAATATAAAAAAAAAACCTATAAAAAAAGCTTACACACGCAAAATTGAGATGTTTAAATTTAACTTCACAAACCTGTAATGAAATTGTTTTACTCAGTTAATATCTTGTATTATTTAATACATTTTTACATGATTTCAAATTATACTTATTGATGTATTATGTAAATAATCATATATTTATTTCTTGAACGACTTTTTGCATTTATAATGCAAATTAATCGCCTAATAAACTTTAAGTTAGAAATATTTGTTAACGTGATATTTGAGAGGTCTCTAAAAATACCAACCGTAGTGTGCGGTCGACGATATATTCTTATCATTCTTATGACCCTAGTATTTTCATTAAAAATATTCTTATCACTTTTAATAATTGTTTTAAGGCTTAATTAACTAATTAAACAGAAATATTTAGAATAAAATTACAATTGTCGTAACAGAAAATAGAATTTTAAGTTCATAATTAATTACTTTAAATTAACTACTTTACTAAAAAACAAAAGATATCGCCTAAATAAAAATAAAATCAAAACCCAATTTTGAAAGAAATTTTTAAAACAATTAACACAATAGGCTAAGAAAAAAAGAAATGTTAGTAATAAAAAAATTACTTCGATAATCACATTATCATTAAAATCAAATTAAAACTGTATTAATAAATAGTAGTAAATATTTCTTCCTAATTCCTTTACATTGCAATATCTTTTTTCGAGTATCTATTCATATTTGTTCAATTAAAAAAAAAATGTGGTGAATAGTAATTATATCGCTATTTAAGATTATAACTTACCATAGAAAAATAAAATAATCAAGAACACTTACATTTTATCTGCTCTATTGTAATTTTGTCCAAAGTTACCACTTTTTTAATATACTTTAAATATATTTTAATATTCACACAATAATCTTAACACCGAACAGTAAATCTTATCATTGTCAAAAATTATGTTCGTTTCAGGTAATTTTTAAAGTCGTCGTAAAAAAAGGCAATTAATATTTTTACTATCCATTTTTTTATTAGTTATTTGTTAATTTTAGAAGAGTACAGAAAAAAATTAAAAACTAAAAAAAGTAAAAAATTTCAAAAATTATGAGCTGACGAAGTGGGGGGTCTCTAAAAATTTCCACGTGACCATACCCATGATTTCAACCCTCCTAGTTATCTAAAACCAAAAAAAAAAGATTATTAATCTAGAATAATGTCGCAATGGCCGGAACTACGGAAAAGTGGGAAAATTTTTTTTTCACAAAATGGCGACTGCCTGAAAAAAAAAGTTTTTTTGGATCACTTTTTCTGACTATTTCGAATTTTTTAAAAATAATAAAAATAAAAATTTGGGGATGGGGCTAGTTCCAACCATAGACAAGCCTATAAAGAAGACTCTATAAAAATTTCAAGTAAATCGGTCCAGTAGAACCTGAGAAATCGTGGGTATCGTTCCGAAAAAGTCAGTTTTGAGAAAAACGCGTTTAAAGTTTCCCTAATGTCTTTTGTTCGATTAGTTCCGGCCGAACCAGTTTGGAATTTCTGATAATCTCTTAAACAGTGCTTGTTTGAGACATTATTTGGTTTTTTCACTAATTTATGTGATAATATATGACGAGAACCTTTCATATAATTAATAGCTTAATAATTAAACCAGTAGACCTGTTTTACATTTCGAGCACACATTTGAAATCTAAAAATGTTATAAGGGTTTGATTAATATGGGTACCCCGAGATTACAGTTTATACTCTGTTATGTCCATGGTGTTGCTCATGTTTATAGGCGACGGGTACCACTTTCCATCAGGTGGGCCGTCAGCTTGTTTGCAAAAAAAATTTGAGTTTGGGGCAAAAATATGGGGAATATTAATGTTGAATAAACAGTGATTAATAGAGTGTTTGTAGTCATAGATTACTAAATAGATGTCTGTACTTGAAATGTTGATACATTTCAATAATCTATAAAAAATTCCGATGGTTGCATGTTCTATGCCCGATACCACTTAGTATCAATATGTCTGTTTTATTGGTTTGACCTTTTCTATGTATAATATGTATGTATTTATTAATAGATTAAAAAAATATCTTTCGATCACTAACTACGTAGTTCCCGTATATCGTTCCTTTTGGAACTCTTTATGAATTCAGTCTTATATTGTATTACATACTTAAATGATAATTACGTACCTAATACCTTTATAGAGTTTTAGCCAATTCAACTGATTGGTTATTTTATAGCATTTCATATGTGATTTTTCAGATTGATATAACTTTTTTATTTATTAACCAATTGAAATAAAACAAACAATAAATGTTAAGTGAAGTGAACTGTAACTGAAAAGTTCCTGAGTTTAGCGTGTACAAACGTACAGGCAAACAGACAAATATATTAAAAATAATTATTTTGGGTTCTATTGTGTTCATAGAGCCCCCTTATATTAGTTTTTCTTATATATCTTCCATGTATAGACAGCGATCAGTTACGATTTTATTATATGTATTGATTGATTGATATGCAATAAAATATTTTAGATAAACTATCGTTTTCATAGTATACGTTTAGTTTGGAACTAGATGGTGTTATGTTATATAAATTTCAGCACTTTTTTATACTTATCGTATTTTTACTCGTCCGTATCTCTAAAAATTAAAGATTTTTTTATGCAATATAGGTAAACAAGCTGATGGCCCATCTGGTGGAAAGTAATAGCCGTCGCCTATAAACATGAGCAGTACCATGGTCATAACAGGGGATACTATTTCGTTCATGATACCGCCCATGCGTTGCCATTCCTGAGGACTCAGGTGTTATGTCTCTGTGCCCTGTAAATTCACTGCAATTTTCCACCCTTAAAACCTGGAAAAGAATTGTTAGTAATGTGGGCTACCAGTTCCATTGCTAGTAATATACCTTATCAGGTCGACCTCCACGTGGTTCTCCCTAGAAACCTTCATTTATTCTTTATTATGTACAAAAAATTACAAACATATAATTTATATTGAATAAAGATGTACAACAGGCGAGCTTAACTCTGTAAGAGTTCTCTTTTAGCAGACCCTGAGTAGAAATTTACCCCGTAAATTCACTACCACAGATGCGATAAATAGTATATCATCATTATTTTAGACATTAATTGTCAACTATCGATATTGACAGACTAATAAGAAATTTTAGACAAAATATTACCCACAAGTATAGCAAAATATTAATAAACAAATTATTATCAAGAGGTTTTATAAATGTGGACCTAAAAATCTTATTCCATTTCACAGAGAAAATGTACCTAAAATTGCGACTATAGAGGAAATTTTAAAATACCTAGTTTGATTGGATTCTTTAATACAATTAGATGTTATATTTCTGTGTAAAATTTCATCCACTTGAAATATATTAAGAAAGAAGTGAAGTTTTTAATGTTGATATTATTCTCTAGGGAATATTCCTAAAATATCTCAGAATCAGGTACTAAGCATTTTCGTAGTGTACAAGAAAGTATGTGAATATTGTATTTATTTATTATATATATATATATATATATATATATATATATATATATATATATATATATATATATATATATATATATATATATATATATATATATATATATATATATATATATATATATATATATATATATATATATATATATATATATATATATATATATATATCTAAGAGCTGCGCTCTTGTCGGTGGAGCTCTTGCCACTCATTATGATTTTCAGTGAGTCTCTTCACCTCTTGATACGACACGACGCCAACTCCTTTCTTGATCTGCCTGATGTAACTATGTCTCGGTCTCCCTCTTCCCTTCCTTCCTTCTATCTTACCTTCTATTATAATGTTCATAAGTTCGTCGTGTCGTATCAAGTGTCCCAACAATTTTCCCATATATATATATATATATATATATATATATATATATATATATATATATACGAGGTCTGTCCGGAAAGTTCGTATAAAAGTGTTCTGGAATGCGAGAAAGAGGAGTGGGGAGGCCAGGTAAGCGCAGGACCCCTTCCTTATATCCCTAACAATGCTTCAGTTCTGGTCTGACCGCCGTGCGGTGCGAACTGGCTTGTCACGCCATCTGTGAAGTTACCTCTTAACGAAACCCCGTCGGCATGGAGCCCGCTTCCGTTGAAGAGCAGCGCGTCGTAATCAAGTTTCTCTCGAAACTCGGCAAGAATGGCCGTGAAATTTTTGCCGATCTCAGAACAGTAAAATCCCAAAGCAAAGAGTGGAAGACATCCGGGGAACCACGAACAAAAAAATCAAGAAAATCCCGCTCAAATGTCAAGACAATGTTGATTGTTTTTTTCGATGTTCGGGGGATTGTCCATCAAGAATTCGTCCCTCCAGGCCAGACAGTTGATGGAAAATTCTACGTCGATGTGCTCAGACGCCTCAAAGCTCGTGTGGCACGAGTTCGTCCAGAATTGGCGCGAGAGGGGCGTTGGATTCTTCACCACGACAATGCCCCTGCCCACACCTCTCTTGTTGTCCGTGAGTTTTTGAGTAAAAATTCCATTACGGTGACCGAACACCCCCCTATTCGCCGGATTTGGCCCCGTGTGACTTCTTCTTGTTCCCAAAAACCAAATTGGTACTTCGGGGGCGGCATTTGGGGGACATAAATGAGATAAAAAAAGCTATGACGGGGCAGCTGAGAAACCTACAACCAGAGGACTTTCAAGGAGCCTTCTCACAGTGGAAACGGCGTTGGCACAAGTGCATTATGTCACAGGGGGAGTACTTTGAAGGGGATAAAATTGATTTACCTGAATAATTGTAAAATAAAATTTTTAAAAAACTTTTATACGTACTTTCCGGACAAACCTCGTATATCATCATCATTTCAGCTGTTAATTGTCCACAGCTGAACATTGACCTCCTCCATAGACTGCCATAATGAAATGTCCATAATGAACCATCATATACATATATAGTATTATACTTATAGTTACAACTATTATATGCATATTTTATGTAATTTTTAAATTTATTTTGTGGGCATGTATTTGATGTGGTATCAATGTCGTGGTCAGATCGTAGAATTGATCACTTTATGATATGGCGAACCATTTTACGAAATCGTTGTATTTCATGTAACGGAAAATACTCCTTGCTCATATTTTTTTTATACAACTTAGAATGGCAAACAAGCTGACGGCCCACCTGATGGAAAGTGGTAACCGTCGCCTATAGACATGAGCAGTAGTACCATGGACATAACAGAGTATACTGTTTCGCCCATGATACCCCCCATCCGTTGCCATTCCTGAGGACTCAGGTGTTATTCCTCTGTACCCAATAAATTCACGCCATATCCCACCCTTCAAACCGAAACACAGCCATGCAAACACAACTGCTTCACAGTAGAAACACGATTGGGACAGAGGTATCCAAGCAATCGACTTTTGTACAAAGTCTCCCTCTGGTAAATGATGAAGATGATGATGATGACCACATCATGATGTGATCTGATCAGATCAATGAATAATCAACAATATAAAAAACTAAACACACGGCTACTTCATGATACGATCAAACACTAATGATCATATTAAAAAATAATTACATTTTCCACCGTTAGAGGCGCTGTTTTTATTATTCTAATAATAATGTGCCAATTAAAGATTAAAGCGAAGTGAAAGGTCGTTACTGTTACTGTAAAAGCATATGTACATTATGTATACATTGTAATCTTAGGTTTTACTAGAGAACTACTTTACTAGTAAAAAGTAGTACCATGATTTGGTAAATGTAATTGTTTTATATAAAAATAAAACCGGTCAGGTACGAGTTGAACTCACACGTCGAGGGTTCCGTACATAAATATTTACGACATAAAATTACTTTTAACCTAATAGTTATTATTATTGATACTCGTACTACAATTCATAAATTGTGGTTATAAACTAGACCACATAGCTAATTTTGTTTTTGAGGATCTTTTTGAT